GGGGCTCCGGACACAGCACACCTTGGTACTTATTCGACCACTCCACGACCAGGCCCCGCACGCGGGCCTCGAACGCGGATTTGCAGAGATCGCAGGGCGAGCATGCTGCGAGCAGCAGGAACGTTGCCTCGAGCGTATTCGTCGAGAGGTCTGCCAGAATCTGTCAGGGCGACGGGGCAGCGCGAAAACAGACCGTACCGGGGCGCGCGTCCCACGCGAGCTGCGCGGCAGCCAGCGCCCACTCGATGCGCAGCGCGCCCTGCGAGTGAGCGGCGCATGAGCACGTCGGGGGGTGAGCGTCCGGCGGCGGGAGCAATAGGCGCTTGAGCGCCGCGGCGCGCCCGAGGTGCAGGAAGAATAGCCTGGGGCGTGGTTGGTTATAAAACAAGAAGTGAATTGAAGGGGCTTGCCGTTTGAGATACACGGGGCCCATGCGCACCACGATGGCGTCTAGGAGGGTCGGGAGCGCGAATGAGAGCAGGTGGGACGAGGTTGGAACGGCGAGAGCGAGCATGTCGTGGTGGGCGGCGAGCGTGTAGAGGTCGAGCGGGTGCAGCGGCGCGTGGGTGAAGAGGAGCGCGAATAGCGGCGTCGACGGCAAGATCTGCGCGGCACAGGTGAGGCAAATATAAAAGGAGAACCGTTGCGCATACAGCCAGCTTGGGGCTTATCCCGTATGCCGGCATCGCGTCGACCACGTGGACGAGCGTGTCGAACGGAGGCGAGAAATGCGCGCACGAGAGGGCGTAGATTGCGTGCAGGATGACGTCGTTCAGGACGGCCGAGGGCTCCGAGACGCTCAAGACGCGTGGTTCGCCGTCGTCTGCAGGCGAAATCGGGAGCATGGCGTGAAAACCATTTTCTGATGCATCCAGGAGGAGGGCTGAGTGGATGTAGAAGTAGACCGAGTCTTCGGACAGCAGAGTGACTTCCGGGGATTTTTGGCGGTGCTGTGCGGTGGGCGAAAAGGTGCTTGAGACGGAAACGAAGATTTCTTGAGTGGAGGGCTGGTGAGGAACATCGTCATCGAGGTACCATCAGATATTCATGATGAACGTTCGGGAAACTCCGGGTAAGCCCATCACCATATCAAGTTGGAATCATTCAAAATGGATCGCATCGGAGATTTCCAGTGGTGGTGGGACGATCCCCGCCGCCCCCTCGATTTCTCTGAGCTGAAGGCCCTCCATTCTTTCGACGGCACGAACGTGTTTCAACGCGGGATTCTGGTACCGGCACTAACATCTGTCGAGGTAGTTGTGCGTGTTTTTCCTTTTCCTTAAATGATACAAATTAAAATTGTAGGATTGTAGGATTTTTTATATTCTCACATCCGTGATCTCTCGGGCTTTTAAAGCCTGGCCGACCTCCATCTGCCTATCAGCAGTACTCCGGAATATATGGACGGCCCGCAATCAGCTATCGACACAATCACAATAATTCGCCCTCAGTACCGTGACCGACTCCGCGCCATCTGGTTTCAGCTTTTCATCCTCCCTCCTTACGATGACGCAGAGCGTGCCCTCTCTGAAGTTTGTTCCGAGCTAGACAGCCGACTCTCTGAAGTTGTCGACACCCTTCCGAACTTGGCAATCGTGCACATCTACACCAACATAAAGACCACTGCGTCGCGCGAGCAGTATTTCCCCCTGTTGGACCCCCAAATTTCAATTCAGTGGAGTGGGTACCCTGTTCTCTGTTTGGTGCTGCACTGAGACACATCTAGCTTCCCCAACGGAGCCTTGATATCGGCGCCTTGGGTGATATACGCGAATTTGACCTAAATTCAATTTCATTGGGCTTCGGATTATCTTAGTCCCCGTCCGGATGCGCGAAGGTAGTTCTCGTACATGTGAGGGTTGCGCGTGGAGGCACGCGCATCGGTGGGGTTCTATGGAGGGTGTTGCTGTGTGCATTTTATCTTGTTTGCTTCCCCCCTCCCACTTGTGTTTTACTTTCTTCGTCTCGCTTCTCTTTTCTCCAAGGATGAGTTCCTCGCATCCAGCACTGCTCCGCATGCTACGAACCGCGTCAACGTTGTTATTCTTGTTGGGCCGCTACGCTGCATTGCGCCTGGTCCAGAGCTGGCTGGGCTGGCTGGGCTGGCTGGGCTGCCCAGTTCCCGTGCACGAACATCTCTGTTGCTAATCTCGCTTGGCTGCACCCACTCGTCAAATAAACCGTGATCATTTGTTATAATTTTACTCGTGACCCCACAGCAAGTTCCTGCGATTCTGTTGCAATATGCATCTCAACTCGATGTCCCAACGTTCGCGCGAATCTCCTCGCTTTCCAATTCGCTCAGTTTCGCCTAAAACGTCGTATTACAGGGGCTTTGGTGCCTTCATTTCCGCCACCGCCACCGACCTAACCCTTTCATCCGGCATTCGTGTTTATCAGCCGGCTCCTCCGATAGGCACTTCGGGCAGGCGTCTGGCATATGAGCTCCAGTGACCGGTACGAACGCTGGAACAGAGAGTTCAGACAATTATTCCGGTGTGGGCCACAGTGCACACCATTCCGATCGCTCATGTCGAAGGGGAAGCACATGCACGAATCCTGCGAGTTCCAGCGCAAGAGGATCGATGGCGGGACAGCCGTTCCGGCTCCGCGAGCCCCACCCGGCCGCGTAATTTTCCCCAGCAAAGGTACCGCGTGTTTAAGCTGATGAATCGGTAATATGACATTGAATTTGGTGGAGATCAGAGTGAAGAGGGAAATGTGTCTATCTGTTCCCGGAATTGGTGTACTTGAGCGTGTCGCAGATGACTCCGTTTAGTCGTGGTTGTCTTGTCTGTTCGGATGAGAGAGATGTGTTGGTACAACATCACGGTGTGGCGCACTGGCTATGGCCACCAAGTGGCCACTCACTGTCATCTCCATTTAGCCGCGGCTGCCTTGGTGTTCCAGAAAGATTACTTAAAACGCTGAAGAATAAGGTCAGTGTGATGTGTCCATGCACCGCTTCCGTAGTCTGTTTCGTGGTCGTACCTATTTGGAACGTCCTCTTCGCCGCGTCAAACTTGAGCTCCGGAAATATACAACCTTTGACTGTTGCCGAACATTGCCGAACGGCGAATCATTTCCAGCATGATTGCCTGTGGAAAACAGTGAAAGTATTAAATCGATTCTCAGGAAAGAGAAGTCCGTGGATGCGCGTGGTTGGAAAAAAGCCGGCCACCACGGCCAATATTAATACCTCCGAAGGATGAACCCAAGCCGAACCCGGCCGGCTGGTTGACGCCACAAATAACAACGATAAACTGTGTGGCGACAATTGAAAATTCTCTCATAACCCCCATTTTTGTCGTCGGTGAGTTGCTTTCGATGAGACTTGGCGCTAAAGCTCCACTGGATATCCAAGAGCTCGTGGACCACTGCATCGACTTGCTCGATGACTCAGCTGGAGATCTGCGAGGCTCATCCTCACTCGTCGGTCGCTCCTGGGTCCACACCTCCCAGTCTCGCATTTTTAAAACACATAAAAATTCCACCTCGTCAAAGGAGTTTGTCTCCCTCTGAAGCTCAGGCCACTCGCTTACTGGATATCCTCGAAGCTTCACCTCACCTTGCCACCTATGTGTTAACGCTCGAACTTTCCCAGGAAGCCATATCCCCGGATTCTTTCCTCCGAGTGTGCAAAATCTAATACACGCGGATCTCCTCCTGCTCTTCGAGGGTTCTTCCACCACGCTTTACGCAGCCTGGGGTGGCATTCAGCAGTTTCTCACTTTGCCCACCCTCCGATTTTTCAACCTTCTGGGCAGTTCTCCGCGCAGGGAACCGCTTCGGGATATATGAGACCACTGCACCTCAAATCTCAAGTATCTTTCTTTGTCCTGCGAGTTTCGAGGTGACCGCCCCTCACCGTCGCCTGGTGCTGTGGTCGCGGCCCGTGACCCCATCATGTTGGAGTCGTTCACATGTTATGAAATAGCTATCGGAGACCTCCGGTGGTGGCTGACAGCTCCCTCTGCCCTCTCAATTTTTCCCAACTTAGGGTTTTCAGGTGCTCCAACATCACAGACATGGTCCGGTGCAGCGTCATGAAACCGGCGCTGACATCAATTGAAGTGCTCGAGATGGTTGTACGTCCTTGTCATCTCTCTTAAAACCTCTAATCCCACTTGGAATCACCTTTCCAGGATGATATCGGCAATCTCTCAGGCTTTGAATGCCTCGCCGACCTGTGGTTGAACATCGCCGCTCAAGACCTGCAATAAGCCTTTAACAAAATCGCGATAATTCGCCCTGAAGGTTGTGACCGGCTCCGCACCATTCGGTTTTACCTCTCCCTCGGCTCGCACGAGAGAGAGCGTGATCTCTCTTCGCTCTGTGCCGTGATAGACCGCCGCCTCTGAGCTTCGGGAGAGATTTCACAACCTGGGAGTTATGCACATCTACGCCGTCGGCAAGACCCCCGCTATTCCCCACCAGTATTTCCCCTTGTTAGGCCCCCGAATTTCAATCCAGTGCCCGGTCCTCCGTTTTGGGCTGCGTTGAGGCATATCTAGATTCCCTAGCGGAGCTTGGCATAGGCTGCCTTGTATGATATCCGCGAATTGGACCTACATTCAACTTAATTGACCTGCGGATTACGCGCCCTGTCGTAGTCTTCGTCCCAATGTGCGAAATGATCCATGTTTTGTTGAACCTAGCCGGGAGCTCTGATAAATATGACGGTTACGCGGGATTTATAATTACGGGAGGTCGGCGTACAACATGTGAGGTACGAGCGAAAATTGTTGTAGCACCTGTTGTATGTAGTGGAATCGACCAATGACATGAATCAACGCAGGGTCCCGTCCTCAAGTTCGGCCCCAAGTGTGGCGCGCTCCACTAAGTTAGAGGGCAGCAATAGGGGATTTTGACCCACGCCGAATGTAGTTGAGTGATTTAACCTGCGCGGATGCGGTGAGACGTCGGACACAAATTAGAGTAGGTTCGTACACTATAATATGATCCCGGAGAGGAAAAAAATGACATTGCCGGTCGTCAGATGCATTCGGAGGGACTCGAACCCTCGCCTCCCCGAGAACACGAGTTCGATCGAATATTAGCAGGGTGATCTCCATTAATCGACAAAGGCTTTTCTTCTCTGGTAAGAGCCATCCACAAATTCTGAACACAGCTGAGTGAAATGTAGACTCTATTTTTTCGTTCAATTCGACAGTCACGCGTCACGCGGTCCTTTTTTGTTATTGCGGCAATAATTCTTTCTCGATTTATCGGTTTTTTTTTGGCCTCAGAAAGTTGGGGTCCGTGTCGAATTGAACGAAATAATACAGTACTGTACTATTTCGACCAAGTATTCAGTCACTGGTCACAGAGGCCGCTGAATTGAAGGCTTTTCAATTGTGTCACAGGTCACCAGGACCGTTGAATACTTGGCCGTTTCGTATTTTCATAGGTCCAAAAACCCAATTTTTTCTCAGCCCAGCACGTTCCCCGGGAGAGTGCCCGCATTTTGTGCTAAAAATGAAGACCATACACTGCAAAAGGCGTAATTTATGAGTATTTCGAGGGCCTGATACATTATTCAATGCTCCTCCTTGCTAAAAAATCCTGAACTGTCGGGAGCCTTCCCAGTAGGAGTTAGGGTAGGCCGCGGGAGGGTGAAGTCCAGAAGAGTGTGTAAGGAGATGTGCAAGATCTGTGACACAATTGCGACAGGCCCAGTGAAGTCGGCCGTGCAAACATGATATAGTCACATGGGGTGGGATATCCTTCCAGCCCTTGCCCTGAGAAATCCAGGCAGTGCATTCGAATGGAGTCATGGTGTTCCGAGGATGGTTGCATCGTGAAAAGCTTGGAAAGAAAATGCGAAAATGAAGGGTGATTGTCGGTCATGATTGACTCATGGATTAATGTGAATTTCGGGCTGAATCCGACTCATTTGAGCTCAAAATCACATCGATCTCCCGTACATGGCAGTTGCCAGGGGTAAATCTCCTTTGAATACTTGAACAAATGAACACTTGAAATAGCGGTCACAGGTCCCAGTCAACTTTGAATTGATGGCATTTGAATACTTGCGGTCACTGGTCACAACCCTTGAATACTTGGATGTAGAGAACTCCGACTTTTGAGGAGAGTTGAACCTGGGAGCGTTTGAACGGCTGCATGCCTCGGGTAATTTATGTAATCCACAAGCGCATTGTGGATCGAGAGTCGGCGCGAGGACGGCGGACGCGGCGCAGCGCAGGGCCGGGATCAATGACTGGTGATGTGATGTGATCATCACATCACATCACCAGTCATTGATCCCGAAAAAGCACCAAGGGGAAAAAAGGACAACAGAAACCCGGGAAAAGGTCTAAAAAAAGGGACAAAAAAACCCATGAGCAGAAAAAGGCGAGAAAAGCCGTCACAAGGGCTGAGAAAAGGACTTGTAAATTTGCTGATGATGTAATGTTACATATGTGTGACACACAGCGGCGGGCGCGGCGGGAGACAGCAAGCGGGAGGGGTTGATCGACGGGTGACGTGCGGGGGCGTGGCATTTGATCGGTGCGCGTGGTAGTGACGGGCAGGCCGGCGATCGACGGGCGGGCTGTCTTGGATGTCGTCGATCGCAGTTAGGGGTGGTTTCGGGTATCTCGGGCCGCGTGGTAGGCGGGTGGCGGTGGTCGGGGTGGGCGGGTGGATCGCCGATTATCCGACTGGATTGTCACTGGGCCTGAAATGTGCACGAATATGCGCCTCTAACTCAGCCTAGATTCGACCATAGTTGCGCATTGACATGTTTCAGCATAAAATCTAGAAAATTCCTCAATAAATCATTGGGGCAGGTATGATGTGTTATGTGCTGATATGCGCGAGACATGCTAGGGTATGCTGTGATGTGCTCCTTCACTTTCCTCGGAATCGAACTTATCGCATTTTCTCTCGATACTACTACTGAAACACTACCAATGTTGCCCGCGCTCACCAAACGACACCAAGGCGACAGCACAGAGCACTGTTCCAGCGCAACGGTCCCTTCTAACCGAGTGACCCCCACACGGCAGTCGTCAAGTCCGTGCACCGACTTGGAAAAGCCACAATAGATAGTCTCATTTGACGTTCTGCCGTGAAAGAAGAATGAGTGATCGGCAGAACAGGGTTTGTGACCGAGTGTCCGTCGATCGACAAATCCAATCTTCCACTCTCCTTTGTACGCCGACGGTGAATCGCGCTTTTGCCAGCATATACCACACCATCTCTGCTTTTATTTATTTTCTACCAACTACCGACCCAATATGTCTATACCTTCGTCGTCTACCCCAAACGGGAGCATTCCTGCGCGACTCCTATTCGACTCCAGCTTGGAAACCTGCCCCGACTTCGCCTCCAGCGTCTACGACACAGTCCGCACTCGCCTCAACCCGGACGACAACGCCGCCGCCATTGATATCCTTAAGGAATCCTGGACCAAGAGCAACGACAATGATAAAGCTCAATGGATCCTCCAAGTGGAGGCGGACAGGGCCCTCGCGGAATCGGAGCAAGCCGTGCGTCAGCAGGAAGTGGAGAAAGAAGCCGCCAATGCTGCCAAGGCAGCTGAGGATCAGCGCCTTGAAGCGGAGAAGAAGAAACCCCAATTAGGAGATTTCGATATTAATAGTGCGCCCTCCATTTACCTCGAGTCTCGCATCTCCGTCTTTGCCCAGAAACGGCTTGAGAAGAAGGAGTGGTGTCCACTCTGGCCCCTCACAGCGACCGGGCTCAAGGAAGCTTCCAACGCGCTCACTTCGTCCGCCGAAGATGGAGGCTCCATCAGCCTTCGCCGATCCGACGACAATCAGCTCTCGATCCAGAGCGGTCCATCATCCGACGTTCACAAGAACATGGTGAGAGATGGGAACCTCACCGCCCGCGAGTTCTCGACAGGCTGGCACCGCTGCATCAAGGAAATCACTCGAGTGAACTGGTCCGCGGCTCACGTGGATGCCCTGACCCAATTCTTCTACGGACTCGATACTCACTCCATAACCGAACACGAGCACGGAGGAGCGATTACCCGAATCCATGCCGATTGCTACCGCTTCAACTGGTTCAACACTCTCGGCACTGACCAGTCCTTCAATCTCGCGCTCATCAACGAGGATCTTATGGATAAAATTCAGAATGAATACTTCATGAAACTCCACTCAAAGGTCATTGCAACGTAAACCTTTTTGTTAACCATGAATGAGCTTTGCTGACAATTATCTCTGTCTCCTCATCTACTCTATCCACGCCGCTCCATTCCATCCATTATGATTTCTATTTATATATCCATGCCTCTATCGAATCTCCGCTCGTCCAATCCAACCTCCAGTTCGACCCAACAAAGCCGAAACTCCAACCCCGCCCCATGCTACCTTGTGGCTCCCCCAGCGCCAACCGATTCCAATCGGTTCGAGCCATACCCTACCCCGGGAGGGATGCGCAAGCTCAAAATCGAGGATAACGGCAACCAGGTTTTTGGGAACGGCGCGGCAGGCGGGTCGACTGTCTGCGCCATCTGCCTCGGGATCCACCAGGCGGTTTCCAGATGCCGCTTGCCACAACTCTGGAACGGTTCGCCGGCGAGATGTCATCGGGACGAGCGGAACCGGCTTACCAATCGGAACGGCATCAATATCTGCCTCGATTTCCAGCGCTCCGGGGGCTGTTGCGGCCGGGCAGGGCCCAACCACACCCACGAATGCTCTGGTTGTGGCGTCCCCGATCACGGTGCTGCGGGATGCCCTCTCCGAGCGCGCGCTTAAGCCCCTTACACCGCTTGACGCCGATGCGTGGGAGTCCGCTCTACGCGCAACTGGCCTCATTTCCCGATACCCGACGATACCCAATGGTCTATGACACGGCTTTAATCTTTCCATCCCTCGAATTTTCTCCACTATCACTCCACCTAATAGCTCTACTCTCTCCGACCATCTCAAACCATTCCAACAAGTTATCTACTCCGAATCTTCCTCGGGTCGCTATATCGGGCCCTTCTCAGCAAAGCAGCTCGAAGCGCTCATCGGAGCCTTCCAGTCATCGCCCCTATCCATGGTCCCAAAGGCGCACGAGCTGGAGAAGATGCGACTCGTCCAGAATTATTCCTTCCCCCGCACTCCGCGCAATGGTCACACCTCCATTAATTACCATATTAATTCCGACGACTTTCCATGCACTTGGGGCACATTCAACGCAATGTGCCTCAAGGTTTCCATGCTCCCCCCTGGTTCGCAGATCGGCATACGTGACGTGTCCGAGGCGTACAGGAATATCCCCACCCACTCATCTCAATGGCCCGGAACCGTTCTGCGTCTTCCCGCAAACCTCTTCGAACTTTCAGACCGCCCCGAGCTCGGCGAGGAGGATGCATTTGCCACGGACTCGAGCGTCTGCTTTGGCGAATCCTCCGGGGCTGGAGGTTATGGCCTCGTGGGTGATGCGTTCCCAGACATCTCGCGGGCCGGCGGTATCGGCCCTACTTCCAAATGGATCGATGATTCTGCTTTCCTCCGCATTCCACGCATCTATCTTGCCGAGCACAACAGGAGGCGAGCAACCTTGCATCAACGCCTCGGAGAACGCCGTCAAACAGGCGGACATCTCTGGTGGGGCGGCGCGGAACTGCCTGACGGACGAATTGAAGAGTACGACGAGGATTTCGCATTCCCCCTTCAGGATTTATCCTACGTCGGTCCACGCAGCGAATTCGACGCTCAATTCTGCTATAACTTCGACGATGTTGACCAAATCTCCAAACCCCTGGGAATTCCGTGGAAAACGACCAAGGACGTTCCATTCTCGAACGCCGCACCTTACACGGGAATTGTTTGGCACCTTGACTCGCGCCGCATCTCGCTCGCAGCCGAGAAGAAGGAAAGGTACTCAACTTCCATCACGGAGTGGAAACTCGTCCGACTCCACATTCTACGCGATGTCGAGAAGCTCTACGGGAAGCTTGTCCATTTCTGCTTGGTTGTTGGAACCAAGGGACGAGCTTACCTCACCAACTTGGAGGCCATGCTCGGCAACTACCACGACACTCCTTACATGCCGCGTCGAGCTCCGCGACACCTCGACGAGGACCTCGACTGGTGGCTCGAGCTTCTATCCAGGCCTGAC